CCTGCCCCTAGATGTACAAAACCATCTGGCTAGTACCAAAATAAATCCTAACCTCAAATATTGAAATTGCCTGTAGTGAAATAGGGCCTGTTGATAACTATGGCATAACCCCCTTTGAAATTAAAAATGCACTCAAGAAAGGTAAGGCTACCTCTCCTGGAGAGGATGGCATCACATACAACACCATGAGAGTACTTGCTGAGCTGCCAAATGCCCTTTGCTAGAATTGTTTAATCAAAGTCTAAGGCAGGGTGTCTTACCCGACCGCTGGACACAGGGACTCATAATACCCATACCCAAGCCTAACTCACAAAAATTCAGACCCATTTCTATGACGTCGAGCATGTGTAAAGTTCTTGAGAGGATTATCCTCGACAGATTAACGTTTCAAATCAAGCCCCACCTTGCCCCTAACCTGTATGGTTTCCTTCCTGGAAGAAGCACACACACTTGCTTTGTTTAATATTTTACCATAGAGGGACCAAACTCTCTGGCGGCATTTATTGATATCCAAACTGCTATTGATACAACAAACAGAAATAATCTTAGAACAACTAGGCCTTTTTTGAGTTAAAGGAAGACTGTTGACATGGCTCAGGGGTTACCTGAGTAACAAAACCGCCTCAGTCCTTTTCAAGGGGGTCAGAAGTAAACTTTGTGCACCCTTTGAGTCGGGGTACACCCCAGGGTGGAGTGCTAAGTCCTATACTGTTCAATGTTCTGATGCACAAATTAACAATCGATATTCTCACATTACCTGACGAAGCCGTCATCTGTTATGCCGATGACATATGCATTGTTGCAAATACCCAAACTAGGCTGCAAGCTCTACTTGATTCACTCGCTGCTAAAAGCATTGAATGTGGTCTTGTTATCTCTATAACTAAATCCAGAGTTCTCCATCCCCCAAGAGAAAACTCATGTCATTATAACTTTCAAGGTCAACAACCAGAACATTGAAACGTGCAGGCAGCACAAATACCTTGGAGTTGGTTTTAACAGTGACATTATAAACGATCAACACCGTAGGTTAAAAGAAAGACTAAAACCACTGAAAACACTTACCGGTAAGAATATTGTATCAATATTAAATATGCTAGACTATTATATATGATGTTTGTTAGATCTCTCGTTGATTATAATGCTTTGCACTTAATTAATTCCCCTCCTCTGTGTTGGACAATCTTGAACTAGTACAGAATGAAGTCATGAGGATAATTCTTGGTGCTCCGAGATGCACAAGATTCATCAACATGAGGGAAGAACTGAAGCTTCTAACCATACTAGAGAGAATCAATCTAGTCAACACTATCTTTTGCCTTAAAGTCATGAGAGACCCCACATCTCCTGCATTATTAGTTATAATTCTCCTCAAATTATTTAGTGCTGTTAACACCCCTATTGACTGGTGCCGACATACCAACTCACTCCTGTTATGTTAAATGGCTGAGAAAAAATGCCTACAATCTCATTAAGCTCAACATTCCTTTTAAGTGCAATCTACTTGTCTCTGATATACCCTCTTTATCTGTACCCCACCATTCTAGTATCATACACACCTGTCACCCAGAAAGATAATGAGAATCTTGCTCCTCTCAAAGCTGTCACACTCGAAACAATTTCCTCCACCATCGAGAATTTAAGATCTCACGAGCACTGTGTCTACACCGACGGCTCAGTCCAATCTTCTACTGGACGGACTGCAGCAGCATGTAGGTTTATAGAAATAATATTTGCACAAAGACTGTCAGTGTCAGGTTAAACAACTGGCTGACCTCCACACAAGCAGAACTAGCAGCATTACAACTAGCTACCAGTACATTAAAAAACATTGGAGGAGGAATAATACTTTGTGATTCAAAGTCTGCTCTTCAAGCAATCGAAAACTTCTCTTGAAAGATCGACAGCAAGAACCTCATACTACAAATTATTAATGACCGAATTGCTGCACAGAGTAAAGGGTCTCGAAACTCCTTCGTACAGATTCCTTCTCACATAAATATAACCCATCATAATGAAATAAACATTGCAGCCAAATTAGCGTGCAACACAGATGAAGTGGAATTAGATCTAGGTATCCCCATCTCTACTGTCAAAACTGTTTTGGTCCAAACAATCAGGTCTGATAGAAAATAAATTACTGACTCCCAACGACCTGAAAGTACTAGTATAAAACACTATGATTTGTTCAGATCTGAAACCTATATCTATGGGCAGCACAAAACGTCCACCAGACTGCGACACAGTGGTTGCAAGGATCAGGTTGGGTTACCGTTACCTGTGGCAGGTAGCTACAGGTGACGAATCTCCCAATCCTGAGCACTCCAGGTGCAAACTCTGTGAGCAGGAACTGCGGCATGATGTCCCACACTACATCACCGAATGCCCTGTTATTAGACCTTTCAGACCAGTTGGCATGAGGTACCTGGAGCTTTGCAATAACTTTATTCACTCTCGTATTTTTGAAGATATCCTCACAGTGTACCCAAAATTTGCCAGTGTAGGCTACTAAACATATGGCCCTGTATGACTAACCATCCTGCGAGATGGGGGCTTTTATTATCACTGCTATCTATTTCACTCTTGTGTTGATGATATCCTCAAAATGCATCCTGAGTCTGCCATGCAGACTGCCTATCAGATGCCTCTGTATGACTAACAATCCTGTGTGATGGGGATTTTTTAGCATCACGTAGTTACCTATTTTTGACACACTGTACTCCACTTCATATAGTCTAGGGTAGCTGCACAAGTGCAGATGTATCTCATGTATTAATAAAAAAATATATTTTCCTTCTGAATTTTTGTAATATTCATAATATTTTTTTTCGTTCGCTTGACAGATTGTTCAGAATGGGAGAAAATGTCTCCTTGCTACATGGAGAAAAGTTAATTGAGAATATGACACAAACATGATTTTTAATCTTCGAGGATATCAGCTTCTTAAATATGTCACTCATAACCTTCACAGTGTTTCGCTTTCTCTCCGAATCACAATACCCTTAGTGCAACAAGTCTTTGAAGACTCCTTGTTCCATTTTGTCTTCATATGACTAGCATATGAGACAACATTAGAGTTTTTGTAAAATAGTCTCAATGATTAGGACTGACTTAACTTATTCATATTTTCTTTCTATTTTTATAATTTTTAATTAATATAATGATATGTTACATTTTAAATTATTAGGGTTTTTTATTGGGTTATTTTTTTATATAATTTTAACAGGTGATTTTCAAGTTGATAACACTATAGAAAATTATACAGTCAGTACCTAATCTCTTCTAAAGAATAGGTATTATTAGTAGTCTTGACAGCAGTTCTCATAGTAATCATTGAAGTAGTCTTGGTAGCAGTTCTCAAAGTAGTTATGTAAGTAGTATTGATAGGAGTACAGCAGGAGCATTAATATGACTTTTTTAGACAGGTATTTTCCGAAGCAGATAAATTGTGTTCAATTTCAGGAGACTGAAAACTTTTCTATCGTATTGCTCATACTTAAAGCTATTCCTTCCTATAGCTCGTCTTAAGGATTATATTTCCAGATTGTTCTGGGATACGACCATCATATTTAAAGAATATGATGGTATTGCAAGTATTTGGAGAGAGAGAGAGAGAGAGAGAGAGAGAGAGAGAGAGAGAGAGAGAGGGAGAGAGAAAGAGAGAGAGAGAGAGAGAGAGAGAGAGAGAGAGAGAGAGAGAGAGAGAGAGAGAGAGAGAGAGAGAGAGAGAGAGAGAGAGAGAGAGAGAGAGAGAGAGAGAGAGAGAGAGAGAGAGAGAGAGAGAGAGAGAGAGAGAGAGAGAGAGAGAGAGAGAGAGAGAGAGAGAAAGAGACTGAAGAGGGGATTGAAGAAAGCTCTCTAATTTTATATGTAAATCCTCAAATAAAATTGAATACAGAATAAAATAAAATACATGAAGAATAAACAAATAGAATAAAAAGATACACTAGAATAAAATTGGATACATGATGCAAGATTTAATAGACACGTAGCGTAAGGACGGTATGGATGCACAACACGGGAAACAGAGTGTAATTTGGATGACTCACCTTTTTTCTTCCCATGATTCATTAAACATTGTGAAATAAAGCTTAATTTCCCCATTACTACTTTTATAGGCCTTCCCGCAGACTTCACCTTCCCAGTCGATAGTTTCACTCATTGTCTGCATGAACCATGACTGTGAAATAAGAGCTCTATCCCCAACACTTCTCTTTCAAATGCAAAATGAAATATTAACGTGATGTATCGATGAGAAAGTCAGTAGCACAACGTCAGCAGACGATAGAAATCGGTCAAGTCAGCAGACGTTCAAGACAGCAGACGGTCAAGCCAGCAGACGGCCAAGTCAGCACACAATCAAATTAGCACACGGCCAAGGCAACAGGCGGTCAAGCCAGCAGGCCTTCAATTCAGCAGACGGTCAGGTCAGCACACAGTCAAGTCAGCAAACAGTCAAGTCAGCAGACGGTAAAGACAGTGAGTACAGCCCACCAGGAACCTTGAAGAACACATAGAGGCTCGTCCTGATAATAACAGCTTTACTAATGAGCTTAACGTATTAGAAGACAACATATGTCTCAATGTATTTAATTTCATTATTTTCATTCACAATCTCCTGAAATATCATTGCTGGTAGCTACTAAATTTGCTAATCTTTTTTTGTTTAAACTAAGGAATTAAGGTTTTATTGAGATGTATAATATCGTCTTAATAATGAACGAAATAATTATTATTAGTTCATAAAGAAAGTCTTTCAGTGTTGATGAGTTCTGTTATTAACATATTTAAGGGATCCCTAATAGATCACATGTCAGCTCTAATTTTTCAGATAGATCACATGTCAGCTCTAATTTTTCAGATAATGGATGCTGTTTTCGTTTTGGTATTAAGACTTATCTGTGCTATGTATTCCAGACAGGTGCAATGGGTGTTAAATAATATAAAATGAGAGTAAGATTTCTGGTTACGTGTACATTTTAATCTATGGTGTTTTTGGCTTGGGAGAATCCAGGTGGTTCCGTCCACTTGAGTCCCTGCTGAGGAGGGCTGGGAGGCAGTATAAAGCTGCCTGCTGGAGGGTGTTCCTCACACAACTTCTGCCAGCAAGATGAAGTGCCTCCTGGTCCTCCTCTCCCTCGCTGTCCTTGCATGGTAAAAGCTCTGCTGCTCTATATTACGTACTGAATGTTTTTTTCTCGCTGTTCTTATATAATTTTAGTAATATTTATTACAGAAATTTTTATGTATCCAAGCACAGTGTTCAAGCGCCTGCACTGTTAAGTTCGTGCTGATGGCGCTTTAACCAGTACTGACCTGGTCTTAAATCGAAAGTGTTTTAATCAATAAAAGACTCTTAAGACTGTTGAAGACTAACTTACACAAAACTCAATTAAACCTGTTTGGCATGATTTGCCATCTCTGAACCCATGCTGATGTTATGTTACAAAGTTCTTTTGCTTCAGATGTTCTATTAGTTTGTTTCCCACAATAAACTCACAAGGTGTGTGTGTGTGTTCTTACCTAGTTGTGCTTGCGGGGGTTGAGCTCTGGCTCTTTGGTGCAACCTTTCAACGGTCAATCAACTAATGTACAGGTTCCTGAGCCTACTGGGCTCTATCACATCTACACAAAAAACTGTGTATAGAGTCAGCCTCCACCACATCACTTCCTAATGCATTCCATTTGTCTATTCCTCTGACACTGAACAAATTCTTTCTAACGTCTCTATGGCTCATTTGGGCACTCAATTTCCACCTGTGTCCCCTAGTGCGTGTGCCCCTTGTGTTAAAAAGTCTGTCTTTATCTACCCTATCAATTCCTCTGAGAATCTTGTATGTGGTGATCATGTTCCCCCTCTAAGTCTTCTGTCTCCCAGTGACGTGAGGTTTAATTCCCGTAGTCTCTCTTACGTTTTCATGTGTGTGTGTGTGTGTGTGTGTGTGTGGGAGAGTACGTCAGTATGCTAAAGTAATAGGTTGCTAATTAAATAAATGATTATTTCTTACTTTTTTATACTGTTTAAATGAATACGTTTTATTACAATCGTTCAACAGGTCGCAAGGGGAAAATGAATGTGACTGTGAAGTCGTCTTAAAGTTTCCCAATGAGACCATCAGCGTTGACGACCTGCCAGTCAACGGTGCCACCGACTGTGACGACCACAGTGGCTGCATGAAAACTTGCCGCGATGAGGTACGTGTAAATGCAGTATTTCTCACACAATATAACAGAATTATAGAAATAAGGCATTTTTATTACAGTTGGCAAACAATATATCATTGCATTAAAAATAATAGACATGAATTGCAAAATATCAATGAGGATTTAGAGCAAGGATATTATTATACATTGAGGCAAATGGAACACTTGCATTTGTACTACATGCTTCATAAAATGTAATAAGCCCTTTTTTCTTCCATTAATACATTTGTGGTAATTGTTTTCCCATTTTCTCTGTAGTGGGATTCAGTCTCAAACGGGGGAGACCTAAACTACATTCAGAGCAACGGTAAAACTGTGGGCCAGAACCTCTGTGATAGTCTGGCTTTAGAGGGACAAACCAATTTGGAACCAACAAAGGTGAGTAATTTTCAGGGAACAGAATAAGATTTATTGAAATAGATTTTACAGATAACAGTAATCTACAGATCAAGGTATATTTAATTCTAATCAAGCTATTAAATTACATTAGATTTATAATTTGAGTGTAGATTAATATTAATAAAAGTGTGCTCACCTACTTCGGCATTCCTAGCTGTGTGGGTTCTAGCTCCCTATCATAGTTGATTGCTAAGTGATGAAGGCGTCTTTCAATCATAACCTGAGATCACTACTTATTTCATTGGCCATTTTCCTGAGAAAGTTCCCGTTCTTCTTAAGTCTGAGAACTTCATCTTCACATCCGATTTCTGTTTCCTCCTACTTTGATACTGACCCTCGTAAGATCATCTGTGCAATCTGAACGACAATCATATAGTTACTGAAACAATAATTAGGAAATAATCACCCTAAGAAACGGGAAAAGCAGCAACAGGTTAAAAAAAGAGAAATGTAATTAGTAGATTCCAAAAAATCAGCGTTGAGACCCATGTTTTTACTAATATACATAACTGACATGGCTGATTAAATAGACATTTTTTTCATTGGTTTTGCTGAAAATGCTAAGCTTAATAAGGCATAATCACGATGAGTGACGCCTGAAGACTGTTTGAGGAGCAAAATAAATTTCTAGAATATTTTGAAAAATAATTACCGAACCTAAAGCTCCGTCCTGCAAACTTTGGTAAGAACCAACAAGTTCATAACTTAAGTTTCTAAGTCGCAGCAATATAATGCTGGTAGCATATGAGGCAATGAGAGCCAGAAAGCCTTTATATTTTTCATCAAAAAGAGCATAACTAATTCATGTTTCTATTTCATCAGCTGCATCTGGACTACAGTCTGTGCAACGGAGAGTGGCACGAAGAGGGAACAGCTTCCCACGACACCTTGTGCTGTGTTGATGGTGTTTATCCTGGTTCATGTTAACGTAACCAGCCTCTTGACACGCCTAGTATCTTGACACCAGAAGCCGCATTGACACCACCACACTCCTAACTTGCTAGTATTTATCTCCAGCGGCAGTTGAAGCCCCAGAGTGTACCCACAGAAGTTTCGTGGTTCGTTGGCTCCAGGTTCTGCTAGAAATTGAAATGCAGGTGTTCCAGGTGCTGCAAGAAACTCTTGGCGTGTGTTCTCGCTCGACGAACATTCTTAACAACTAAAATAACTATTCATTATCATCCAGAGAATTCAAGTTTTAATATTTAAATGTCAATAAAAGGGGGATAGCCAACTGTGATTTAGTTTCTATTTTCCCCTCACCTGTCTTATCCCCCTCTTTACTAATCTCTCTGCTCTTTCACCTGTTTTCTTAACTCTCTACTATGCTCTAGAACGTTTTCTCCTGACATTCCCTCTCCAACATTCCTACCCGTGATCTCCCCTCGCCCCCCCCAATCTTTCTCTCTCTCTCTCTTTTTTAAGAAAAGTTATACTAAGCACCAGTAAAATTGAATAACACTAAGGGGACTGGAACCGATCCTCCAATGACCTATGACACTTCCCTACTCAACATGCTTCATGAATCAAGCCTTGATGAGGCTAGCCCAAGGCATGTGGGCTCCAAGCATAGATAACAGACAGACGAACATTCTCTCACTAACAAATGCTGATGGATGCTGAAGCTCATAAGTACTGGTTATCAGTTAACTATAATAAAAGTGATAATGCAAATATATGTGTCTTACTGCACCTTCGGAACATCTTCGCTGGTAAGATATCAGTAAAAAATATCTTGAAATAGTTCGGTTAATGTTTTCTGATGAGTGGACTTGAGAATTTGATGTTATTGCGTATTCACGTTTTTTAAGGCAAAATGCTTTCTTTGGTAGTGCTCTAATCACTTTCCGCTCTTAAATCAGGTAAAATAACTCTCACTCACCTGTAGACTTTTGCCTTTCTTATAACACATGTTCATCGAGTCGCATAGCTATATGTATTTTCACCTTATATAACACACTATACACTATATGACACACACTGTTTTCTAATGATACACTTGAGTAACAAACACAACAGAATACTCGCACTAAATGGACTCTACGAAACACACTTTCTAAAAGCTGTATTTTTCTGGTTCAATAAATATATATGAGTGGCACATATCCTTGAAATATTGGCGAGAAGAACCTCTTAAGAGACGTCAATATTGGAAAAGAAACGCCTAGAAAAAGAAAAAAAGAAAAGACATCGTCTGCTTTATCTTTGGAAGTATGGAAAACGAGACCACGTTCAGGCTTAACTGTGTACAAATTAATTTTAAATTAAGTGTCCTAAAAGGAAGAATCATTTCCATATTCTGTTAAATAGTTAACTACTTTTAAATAACGTTTCTCTCATCTTTATTCTGATTAATAACAGAGATAGAGGATGGAGGGAAAAAAAGTCTCAAATATTATGTCAAATCTTGAGCAAATGACTGGGAAGCTGAGGGCACGAGGTGTAGTTGCCGAGGAAAAGAAAGGTGGACAAATTACACAGAGTTAACGCAAGAGTAAGATAGTGGAAGCTTATCTTAGACGACGCCTTCTCCTACGACTGATAAGTAGTTATTAATCATGTGTTTAACTTTCACATTACCTCTCTTATCAGCCCTACCTCCATGACCACCTCTCCAGTTGATAGTTGAAGGCGTTTATTAAAAAATAGGCCAAATTTTCTTGCAGACATACTAATAAAATTTTTATTTTAATGAATATAATTAGAACAATTATTAAGGGAAGGAGGCTGGGAATTATCAGGAGAAAGCACCAAGACATTACGACTATATAGCACTTGGAAGAGGTGAGGATTTAGGATGAGACGTGGGGAAGGAATGGTATCCAACCACTCGTACAGTCGAGGAATGAACAGCGACCTGCATGAAGCGAGACCTTTGCTCTTCCCTCCCGTCGAAGTGGTTTGGCAATGATGCTCTTCTGATTACCAGATATAACTCGAATCAGCAATACAGGTGCCAAGATCCCATTTATCTCAGGATCTAACGAGAAGCAGCGATGCTGAAGACCAAACGACATTTGCTCGTTATACGTAACTAGAAAGAGCGATGCTGGGGGGAAACAAGCAAAATAAAGATAAGAAAGAAATCCCAGGACTGAAAGGAAACGCAAGAAACAATAACAAGAAAATGGGAATCGTTCATTCGACAGTAAAACTTATATATGTCATCTCTAAAATCTTATGGTAGAGAACGTCAAATTTAAAAAAAAATATTATTTTTCAGTACCTACTGAAAATGTTTCCAGCTGATAAGTACTGAGATCGATTCCTTAGCATACTGTCTAGCTAAGCACGTATCTTTGCTCACAATTTCTTTACTGAAACAGAGCAAACTTGGTACCTGAGATTTAGTCGACTGTTGCGGGTATATTCTGGGGGAAGCGCAATCGTTCCTGAGGGGAACCTTGCTAAGCAAGGGATGTATGATCTAATAATAACTTTCGGTCACATGAATGAGAAACACAGTTCCCAGTATTGTTATTTTAGAGACTGAAACACACGGTGAAGGTAACAGACGGTCCAGTCAACAGATGGCCAAGTCAAATGATGGAAAAGCCAACAGACGGTCAATTCAACAGATGGCCAAGCCAACAAACGGTTAAGTCAACAGATGGCCAAGCCAACAGACGGTCAAGTCAACAAATGGCCAAGCCAACAGACGGTCGTGGCAACAGACAATCAAGGCAAGAAACGGTACCACACGCTCAAGGGAATATACGGTAGAACACGTTCAAGGGAAGGACGCCCGTCCACGAGTAACCTTGATGGGTACTTTGAGGTGCGCTCTAGTAATATTCTCCTAGATATATTCATAAATAAAACTTTCATTTTATTTTGAGTCTGAGAATTCAGCAACGAAAAAATTATTTATCTAATTAAATAAGACAATTAAACTTTCTGAAGGGAGTATAAAAGAGCCTGCTGGAGGGTGCTCCTCACACAGCTTCTGCCAACAAGATGAAGAGCCTCCTGGTCTTCCTTTCCTTCGCCACCCTTGCAAGGTAAAAGCTCGATTACTCCTAACAATTGTTGTCTATTTTCAGGTGTTTCACTCATGTGAGACTGTACACTCAATATATATTTAAATTTATGCACTGATTTCCTACTGTTGGAACATTCAGCAGTACTGACCTGGTATTACACAGGTAGTGTTTAAAACCATTAAAGACCCTTTGATCACATAAATCACATAAATGTACAATATAAATGTCATCACATAAATAGGAGATGCCTCGCGTTGACCAAGAGGCTCTTTGCTTTTTCGTTTATTCTTATCTGCATAATATCATGTGTACTCCTCTACATGCGATTGCAGAACAAGCAAAATTTGCTGGACCCTACTATTTATCAATTAATTGCGTGTTTGCAAATGCTACCTCAATCATCTCCCTTTCTAGATCACTCAACTTCACTTTAATTTCACAATAAATAAGTTCTTAATTCCATCTCTATGTCTTATCTTGCTTTTTGGTTCTTTGCCATCTCCTGCTGCACATTCTTTTGCTAAACATTTCGATTTTGATTGCCTATTTTAAATGCTTCTAAAATTCCTTATGTTGAGCTCATGTTATCTCTGTCTTTCCTTTTTTCCTGCAACTCTACTTCTACCTTTTCTTGTGTGTCAGCTATATATGGTGTGGGGTTTCATTCTTCTTCTTCCAGATCTGAATAATCTGGACGCTCCTTTATTAACAACAGCTCCCTTATCCTGACCCCTTCCCAGTGCTATAGTGATAATGGATTGGCTCTTTCCCATTCCCCCCTCCCCCACCCCGTCCAATCCCAAATCCCAAATCCCTTATTCTTACGAATTAAAACTATTACCTCTTGTTTGTCTTGAATTGTTCATTAAGGTTTCTTACTTTTGTCCCATGTATTCCTTGTCATCTTCCTTCCTCAAAAGAATTATATGGTGTATCACGGACTTCAGTTGAGTACAGGCTAGAAAAAAGAAAATATGAAGATGAAAGCAGGAAAAGGTGACTGAAGTAAGAAATTATTGAAGAATGTTAAGGTGTGGAGATGGAGGAGGAGGAGGAGGAATTGCAGGAAGAGACTGGTGAGCTGGCGCTTAAGGAGCAGTAGGAAGAGATAGTTATAATAAAGCTCCCCCAAAAATGGGAAATTTAAAAATTAACAAGCAGTTTTATTAAATCTACTTGCTCCTTTTGGATATACGAAAATTTACTTGGTGACTTCAGTAGAATTTCAATTGCATGAATTTAACGAAGTCTGTTGTGGAACATGGTAAAGTATGCGACTGGCAATGCCTTCGTCGTTAGTTCGCGTCACCTCTGAGCCCCAGGGAATTTTGTCAAGGATTTACATATCATGTTAGTGTGATTTTCTGGGTGGATCAGCAGTAGAGCGTACGGTGTTCAACTACGTTGCTACCACCCAAGTGTTTGGGCGCCAAACGTAAAACTTGGACTGGCTTCAGGAGGGGCCTCCAGACTTGTTGTAACTTCAGGTGAAATCCGGTTGCATGACTTTACAAATAGTAATAATAATGAGAAAACCAGTAAGAGCTTTGAGGAGGATTCGACCCTGCACATTGGTTACTCCGAAGTAAACGATTAATCCCACTTATCTACGATACGCTGAAAGGCGACGAAATCTGGGATTCAAATGTAACCTTTATGGAACTTGAAGCTTCCAGTAAAGACAAGTCAAGGTTTTACTCATTGTCTGCATACACTCTGGCTGTGGTATAGGAGTTTCTCCCTCCCCCCGCCCCTCCATGTTTCTCCTTCAAATGCATAAATAAATAAAATTAACGTAATGTATCAATGAGAAAATCAGTAGCACACACACTGAATCCAGCAGATGGAAGCACACGGTCAAGACTGGACATTGTAGTGTCACCGTCACGACAGCAGCTGGTAACACACGATCAAGGCAGCACACAGTAGAACGCTGTCAAGCCAAACGACTGTAGTACAAGTTCAAAGCAGCATACGAATTTTCTCGGCCAAACAGCACACAATAGTACACATTAAAGGCAACAGATGGCAGCATAACACCCAGTCAAGAGTCGGTCAAGGCAACAGACGGTAGTCCACAACGAATTCAGAACACGGCCAAGTCAGCACACGACCAAGGCAGTACACGGCCAAGTCAGCACACGGAAAAATCATCACACGGCCAAGTCAGCACACAGTAAGGTCAGCATTCGCCCAACTCACCACACAGTCAAGTCAGCATACGATCAAATCAGCACACAGTCAATTAAGCTCATGG